AGCACTGGGTGTTATGCGCAAACAATGAATCATGGAACACTACATCAAAAACTAATGATGTAATGTATGGTGATTAACATAATAAAAAAAAACAAAAACTGTGGGCAGGAGTCTGAGTCCTTAGCTTTGGACTCAGATAACCTTGAGCTCTAAATCCAGGCCCAATATCTTACTAGCTAGGTGTCCCTAAGCCAAATACTTAACCTCTCTATTAATTTTCTTTGTAAAATAAGATTAATAATACTACCTTGAAATATTTTTTTAAAGATTTTATTTATTTTTTTGACAGAGAGAGACACAGTGAGAGAGGGAACACAAGCAGGGGGAGTGGGAGAGGAAGAAGCAGACTTCCCATGGAGCAGGGAGCCCGACACGGGGCTCGATCCCAGGACCCTGGGATCATGACCTGAGCCAAAAGCAGACACTTAACGACTGAGCCACCCAGGCACCCCTACCTTGAAATATTATTGAGGACTAGATGGAATGATATAGACAAATTGCTTACCATAGGATAGGTGTTGAAGAACGGTTAGCTATCAATAATATCATATTCATGTTAAAGAAAGAAAGAAAGCGTCATTTCCTTCTTACTCAGTTGGAATGCACTTATTTACTTTTTAAAGCACCTTATATTGATTATTTGTGAGGTTTAAAACATCGTGAGCAAGAATGAGTTAAAAATGATTTTCCCTTTTAATTAAAAAGGAATCAATAACATCATGGGGATGTTTAATTTCTTCCAAAGCGAACACAAGACAATCAATAGCATTTCTTGATATGGATGCTGCACAAAATTGAAATCAAAGCCAGTCCCAACACAGCTAGACAAAGGTAACAAAGCTCAGGCCAGAAAAACCTCCTGCTTGATTGGGAATGGTCTAGAAATATCTAGGAGTAGACACCCAGCTACATCTTTGCACTGTGGATTTGAATAAAGCTTGCATGAGGGAGTAAGTGAATCCCAGGGATGTTCTTATCTCTTATACTAAGTTTCAGCCATTTTATTTTTTAGTGTAAGTCCTAATGGAGAGATGGTAGCAGTGGTAGGAACAAAATGTCTATTGCTAGTTTTGATTTAACCAATATCATCGCTATTAATTAATACTTCATTATTTTTGTTTTTGGCTCTTATTTAGCCAAGTAAATTATCTCAGTTTGACCCTACTTGATGGAATTTTACCATTTAATAGATCTGACACAGACATGGATTGATAACAAAGTGAATGACAGGTAAACTAGATAAATGCAAACAACAGAATTAATATTGGTAAATATTAAATAAATGCAGGGTTGTAAAAATCCAATCAATAATGAATAGCGTTTTGGAACAATTAAAAAAAAACCCTGAACTCAAAGACAGAGATTTAAGAATTCTCATTCCAGCCTATTCCTCTAATGATCCATGTGACTCTGGGTATGTCGCCTTCTTTGGGTTTCAAGGCCTTTGAGCCTGCTCTGTATTCCAGTATGGGGAGGTGCTTATATTACATACTCCCTGATATTCACTGGTGGCCCTTGTGGCTTCTATTAACTATATTCTGCCTTTTAAAATCTTTTTAATATCAACTCCTAATCCCAAATTCATATATAAATGAAGAAGGCTTCCCTCTTTCCCTGTTTCCCCAATTAGAGCCAGAATATTCTGGGGGGCACCTGGGCGGCTCAGTCAGTTAAGCATCTGCCTTGGGCTCACATCATGATCTCAGAGTCTTGGGATTGAGCCCCATGTCTGCTTCTCCTTCTCCCTCTGCCCTTTCCCCCTGCTCCTGCTCTCTCTCTCTCAAATAACTAAAATAAAATCTTTTTTTTTTAAAGAGCCAAAATATTCTAACTTTTAGGTAATCCTTTGGTTTTAAGGGTTTGATTGTTGTTAAATTGAAGCAATCCCTGGGAATTGGTAAAATTTTATATAATTAGACATTTACGTTTCAGTAAAATGGCAAAGGAAACAAGTAGCATACTTTACTTTATAGTCTCCTGATGCTCTGTAGTTAAGACTACCAGCTATCTCCCAAAACCCGTTCTTCCCTTCTTTTGTGATGAAATTCCTAATTTTCAACTGGGCATATGTTCATAGAATGGGGGCTACATTTCTCAGCCTTTGCCTTGCAGTTAGGTACGATCATAAGATTAAATTCCAGGCACTGTAGTATAAGAGCCCTGGTGTACTTAAAGGAATGGGGGAATGCCTGTCATCCTTTTCCTTCTTGCTGGTTACAATGTAGATGTGAGAGCTGGAGCTTCAGCAGCCATCTGGTGAGAATGAAACTCATAGATGGTGGCCTGATTCCAAGCAAAGCTGAAGTGCTCTTGCACTGATTATCTGAGATAATCAGCTCCAGTCCACTTTTGTTTGTTTAGTTAATCCCTGACTAGTTGTGTGTGTGTGTTTTTTTAATTCCCTCTACCCGCTTAAACACACCCAACTAAGATATGAGAAACAGGATGGAATTAAGTTCCCCCAAACCTTTTGCAACTCTAGTTTTTTTCACAACTCAATTTTCATGCCTTCTTCCAGAAAGAGAACACATACTAGGAAACTGAGAAGGTATTTCATTTTTTGAAAATGTTAAGAAGTCATGAACTTCTCAAAGAATAGTAAGTCTAACACATCATCATTTGAAATATTTAAATATGTTCTATGATAACAGACTCAGAATTCTGAGAATTTTAGAAAGTAATGATAGTATAAAAATTACAGGAAATTCTGAAGAAAGCTGTGCAAATTTTTATTATTAAATTCCAAATAAGTATAAATATTTAAGTGTCATTATTATTTTTTTGGCACTTCTCTTGGGAAAAAATATAAAGAGATGCACCTTTACATAGATCTTTCTTTAAAAAAGTAAAGAAGTCTTCTAATAAGTGCTACCATGAAACATAGTGATACTAGGTTCCCTTTACCTTTTATTTGTTATTAATTTCAATGAAATTGCTCTAACCATCACATAACTTCAACTATGAGTGGAACATTTTAAATTGTATTTTCTGAAAAGTTGTAAAAAATATTTACCTAGGCAATATCGCATTCCATTCTCAGTGATCACAAAATTAGAAAACAAATCTTAGATTTCTTAAGAAAAACAGAATACAAAAACAAAACAAAAAACCCTAAAATTAATGAGGTATTTTGAACACAGTAGGCTCCCAATACATTGTTGTGTTATGGAGTCAATCTGTGAAATTTTTGAACATTTCTTACATACAAATTCTTTTAAGGCAATCTTTCTCGAATTATGGAAAAGGACCACTTGCATGGGAATTGCTGGAGTGTTTCTTTAAAATGCTAATTCCTGGACTTCTCATCACAAATAGTGAATCAGAATCCCTATGCATGTGTTGAGAATATGAATTTTAAATACCTCCCCCCAAGAGATTTTCAAGCACATTTGAGTTTCAGAACCTCTGTTCCACTGCTTTGTGTAATGCAAAGAAGTTTCAGGCTGATTCAGGTTATTACTTCCATGCCTCTGAGCCAATATCAAGTTGATTCTTTTTTCCATTCTGCCTCCAATAATAATCATTTCGACCTCATGCAAAAGTCAGGAATCATTACTGGACTGATTAACTCTTAAAGGGAGAGGGGTGTCCCTAGATAGGTACAGAGAACATGAATAGCACACGTATGAGTCAAATGAGGAGGAAAATAAGTATAACAAAAGTAAGGTTAGATTTCAAAACCATTTTTGAACTAATCTGGGATGAATACATTTGTAACGTAAGGAATAACTTCGTTAAAAAAAGAACAGGAAAACTTAATAGAGGTCTCCTATCTCATTCTGTGACGATGCTTCTGGGCTCTGGTGATGAATGTGTTCATTTTATGTGACTTGCTTTGGGTAAATAACCCAGTGCCCTATCAGCTATCCAGCCTGCGGCCAGCAGCGCCTGTGTGTGCGCGCTAATGACGGTGGAAGGTGCCTGGAGGAGGGACTCGGGAGGGGCTGCCCAGCGCAATCGCGCTCCATGCACTTGCTAAGAGAGTCTCAGCCCTTTCTCTGCAGCTGCCACTTGAAGACTCCACGTTTTCCCTCCAGAGGAAAGAAGCCATCTATCTAAATCAGCTGTACTCTCCACGTCCCTCGTTTCTCCCTCCGCCAGCCGCCACCCCCACCCCTTCCATTGTGTTGTGCGTTTAGCTCAGCTTCCTGCGGTAAGACCCTAACCTCATTTGTAGCAGCAGGCGTTACTGAGAATTTTGGAACCTCGAGTTGCAATGGAGCTGTACGGAAAGGTGAGCAGAAGGGAGTTGCTCTGCATGTTCTGCGCGAAATGTCGCTTTGACGGACTTTGGTCTGTGTGTGTGTGTGCCTTGTCACTGCAATTGTGCGAGTGAACTACTTTATGTGTGTGCTATTCATCATCTTTCTCCCCTGTGTTTGTTGAATGAGATTGTAAAACCACCCCACTCTGCCTATGGAAATATGTAAACTTTCCCGTTTCGGGATAAGGAGGTGTAGGGCGGAGAGTCCCAGAACGCAGCGCCGGTTTCGTTTGTATTGGGGATCAGCACAAGGTAGTGCGTTTCCTAACCAGAAAATCACAATCTAGACACAGAAGTCTGTGAGTAAAAAAGAAAAATTCCGCGCTGATACGAGCTGGAGTCACTCTCTCCTGCGAAGAAATGGGCTTGGAGGCTCCGAGCAGTAACAACCGGGAGCGATTTCAGGGGGAGAGAAGGGAGGCTCCGCGGCCAAGTCTGACTGGAGGAGACAGCCTGTTAGATGCTTGCTTGCTGGGAGATGTAGTTCAGGGCTCGCTGGTTTGCGAGAAAACCTCCGCGGAATAAGACTACAACTCCCAGGAGCGTGCGGGACTCCAGGCCAGTACGCGTGTGCTGCGCCAAGGAGGGGACAGCTCCGGTGCTGATGTTGGAGCCGGTTAGTGAACCCCAAGAGTGCAGAGTGTGGAACGTGGAGCGCGCGGGCTGTGCATGCTTGACCCAGCGCCCGAGCGAGCTCTGTCTTAACCAGAGAGAAAGGACATTTTGAGAACAATGAGACACGAAGCTCCCATGCAGGTGGGTCTATATGGGTCTATACAGAAAACTGTGGCCTCAGAAGGAATTGATAACAGATGCTTTCTCCCTCGCTCCAAGCACAAATTGTGCTCGACCTCAGGGAAGGTCTAGGCTCTGACTCCGTCTTGGGGACACCGTTGGGTTCCTCTACGCTCCGCGGGGCTGTGATTGGGCTGTCTTGATGAGGAATACGGGTATTTAATATCTTCCCAGGCTCCGCAAGAAGGGTGTGAATGTCCGTCTAAAATGTAAACCCGAGCAAACAAAAGTCAGGGAAACATGCAGTGTCGTACTGCCATTGATTTTCCCTCCTGGCTGGCCTGGTTTGTGATCCCGGTGCAAGTGCAGGGACTTCAGGTTTGGGGTTGCGAGGTCTCTCTTGGAGTTGGGATAGAGTGAATTGCATTTGGTTAAGAGTGCTTTAAGAAAGGCTAAGACAATGTTAGGGTCCCCCAAAGTCCCTGTCGTCAATTAGGGTCCTGGTACAATCAGAGGAGAATAGTAAACATATGCCAGAGGCACGGTAGCCTTTAATCTCTGTCCACAGAACTGGTTTACGCCTGCGTTTTGGAGAACCCCCTCTGAGCTTTCCGGAGTGGTGTGCCCATTTGTTGTTATGTTCCGATTCCCCATTCAGTTAGGTTTGCTTACTTCGACTACGGTGGAAAGATGCCTCTGCCTAAGCATGTTGCTTAAGCAGATTTTGTTTTTAAGTAAAAATGAGTGGTGCTTTCTCCTTTGTATGTACAACCAGTTAATGCTAAACATCAGCTGTGTTCATTAACCTAGCAGAGTGATCCCCTTGCGTAATAGAGAGGCACTTTATGAATGGGGCTGAGAGGAGAATGGAATACATTTGGAACATGTTGGCTCTCTTGAGAACCCACCTCTGCTGCCAAATCTAACAATATAAATATTTGCCTCTAATTCTTGCTTAAAGGTTTCCCAATTATTTTCTTCACGAATCAAAGACTTTAAACATATGCTTTGATTTACTTTTAATTTATGGGTTATGTATATTAAGATATACAGATTTTTTTCCATTTAACATCGGGAAAAAATCTGTAGAATTCATTGTTAAATGGAAAAAAAATCTGTAGAATTTAATTGTTTGTTGAAGGATCATATAATGGAAGCCCTCAAATTACGAGTTATTGAAAATTTGATTTGTTCTAGAAAACAGTGGCCCCATTGTGTATCTTCTAATACCTCTGTTTGTGACTTAGCTTTTCATTATAGACCTGATGTGAAAAGAATCTGGACAGACAATAAAGGTACAGGCTGTTGTAATCAAGATATATTGGCTTATGATAATTTTCCATTACTGAGGGTACTGCCAGGAGCCAACTGGCTAAATTAATCATATTTGATTATAAGTAAACATTGACAGTAGACTTTACAAGTAGATTGTTAGTATTTAAAGTCAACCTCATATACGCACTGAAGTCTATCAAAATAAATTCCTAAAAAAAACTATGTTGCATCTGAATTTTTATTTTCTTAGAAGAGTTGCTTAGAATGTTCGCAAGGCCATTAAAATGTCATAGACTGTATGAAATTAATGCCTTAGGAAGAATTTAAATTATTTCATATCAACTATGTACTAGGCACTATAATTCTGTATTTTAATCAGAACTTCAATGAAGAATTATAAAAATAGGTAATAAAATTAGTTTACTTGTGGATAAAGCTATTTTTTATATTGTATTTTATTAATTGGGCTAGATTTTTGAAATTTAAAAATTAAATGTCCAAATTCTATAATAAATTATATGTATATTTTAAGAAATCAAAGGTTATTTTCTGAGGTATATTTAATTAAAACACATTCACTGATTCCATTTAACAAGTAAATTGTTGCTATGATGACTATCAGGTTTTCAAATATATTACTATCAGGGTTTTAAATGTATATAATGATAGGAAGAATAAAAACTATAAACATGCCTTATATTTTCTTTAAGTGGCAAGTAATGTTTCAGGACCCACAATCGTATTTCAGGTGACTGTGATACATGAAAATGCAATAAGATAAATAGTTGACATTTCTTTTTTTTTTTCCTATTTAGAGACTGAACCACATCATCATTTGAGATATATGCCTCCAATTTTTTACTTAGGTTTTTGAAAAATGAGTCACAAGCAAATCCTCATTTTACAGTTCAATTATCCTAAAAGATTCTTTTTCCCATTTAAAAATACTTAGTCCATTTGTTGATGTGAAACAAAATAAGCTCTTTAATTGCTGACTTCTTAATTTACTTATTTTCTTAATTCAAGGAAGCCTTTAAAAAATTATGTAATGTCTTTTAAAAAGCATTTGATGTGCCTGTATAAATAGCTTAGTGGTCTGTTCAAGGTAGTTGTCTTTGATATATGAATTTTTTCTGAAGAATATTTCTCTCTGAATTGAAGCAAAATGAGGGATAGTAATTGTTTTTTTATAGTGACTATTAAAATAATACATAATGATAGTCTTGATGTCTATATTTCCTTTGTGACTAAATAACCAGGAATAGCATTTGGTAAGTGTTCCAAATAATGGGTTAGAATTTTAATGCAGGAGATGGTCATTTTGTGTTTTCCCATTCAGTGAGTCCATAAATCCTGAAGGCCAAATGAAATGGGGAATAGCAGTGCTCATGACTTGAGGGCAAAACTCTGGTGAACAAATTGTCATTTGATTCAAGAGCCAGAATGAAGAAATTCTAGTTTATCTAGTGCTTTGTCTGTGCCAAGCACCGTTCCTTGCATTCAGATCTCATTGCATGTGTGTGTGTGTGTGTGTTTGTGTGTGTGTGTGTGAGAGAGAGTGTATGTGTGTAAAATACAAAACAATCCTAGAGGTCACCATTACCCTAATTACAGGCAAGGTACTGGAGCTGATTAAGATTAAATAACTTCTCCAACATGACAGAATCAAAATCTGCCAGATTTCTGTCTAGAAAGTCCATGTTCTTTCTTCTATTATTGGGTTCCTCAAGAAGACACACAGAGGTGATGTAAAGAATAAGGGCACTATTGATATAGTTTGATTCATTCATTTGGTTCAGAAGAAAGAAAAATTGTCCTATTTATAAAATAAACTTGTGTAAACTAAACCAATTATTTAAGAAGGGCCAATGTTTTAAAAAAATGTTTGATTTCTGTCTCTGGAATTTCAATTTCTTGCAGACTTACTTATTCTCTTGTAGGACCAAAGTGGGATCCATTGTCTCTCACTAAATGCTGGTCTTTAGTGTTGTTATCTTCAAGCTTTGTGGGTCATCTCATAAATGTACAGCCTTCATACTATTTAGGAAATCAAAGAAAAACATTTAACCCAAAGCATGAAGCAGAGTGCCAAAATAAAAAAAAAAAAAGTTGTTTGGCTAAAAATGAGGAGGATTGAAGAAAGAATATAGATGTATGCCGAAGATGAAGTTGAAGTGAAAACTATAATAGATATTAAATACAGTCATGCTTTATACAAAAACAACCTACAAAGGATTAAAGTCTAAATATCACTGTTTCATTTGGCTGTGGAAGTACTTGGCATTCTTGCATTTCATTATTGTTGATGCCTGACCAAATCTAGCCTTGTGATGAACCCTTTATAAGAAATTAAAATTTAGTCCTCACCCCTTACAGAAACAGAGAAAACTTCTTGTTGACATTGGAGAAACAAAGACTTTCTGACTCTATTTGAACAAATTCTGGAAGTGTCCATTCTTCTTCTGTAAAGGAAAGTGGAGTATAGAAAGGGGAATTACCTGTAGTAAAAATAAAACTTCTATGATGTAAGAATTGTTTTCCATTTCCACTTTTTCATTCTAAGAAGTTGTGGATTTATCACATAGTGTAACCACAGTTTCCCCCTGCCATTCTAAGCTTATACTGGAACTGAAAATTCCCTTTCTTACCATCATATTCCAAGAAAGAAATACATTTTTATGCTAAGGAATGGGTTTTCCTCCGACTGTTGATACACAAAGGACATTCAACCTAAGTATAAACTGCTGTGCCACCTCAAAAATGTTGTATAGGTAAAAGATTATCCAACCATTTTCTCCTGTTTTTCATTCATTAATTGGGTTCAGAGGGTCCAGAGGAACAATCTTAGTAGGTAAGCATGACCTGTGAACATGAAATCTTTTAGATTTACTTGGAATTAGGTAGATTTTAGCATTTTTAATTTATTTATTTACAGTTTTTAGTTACTTATATACATTAAAGTGCACAAATTTTAAGTGAACAATTTGATGATTTTTGATAAATATATATACCTGTGTAACACACACTACTATAAAGCTATAGAACATTTCCAACCAACCCCAGAATTTCTTTCATTCATATTTTTTTCCAGTCAATCCCCTAACTTAAAGTCTTAACTTTTTTTTAAATCATAAAGCATAAAGCAGCTTGATTTATTCTAGAACTTCATGTAGTTCTGTAAAACGGACAATATGAAAATATAGTAGAACATACATTATTTACTCTTGAGTCTTTCTTATTTTTCTGTGTATGGGATTAATCTATGTTGTTGCATGTATCAATAATCATTCCATTTTATTGATGCATATTAAACTTTTGTATTAATCTACCATACTTCCATACTTGTAAAATCCATTCTCCTGTTGGTGGATTTTGAGGTAATTTCCAGTTTGGGACTGTTATGGTTAAGGCTATAAGCATTATCATATTGGTCTTTTGTAATATGCTTTCATTTTTCCTGGCTAAATACCTAGAAGTAGAATTGTTGGGATAAAGGGTAAGTGTACTTTTAACTCTATAAAAAAGTCAAATGGTAGTACCATTTTACATTCTTACCAGCAATGCATGAGCATTCCAGTAACTTTACAGTCCTCAACAACATATGGTGTTGATTGTCTTTTAATTTTGGCCACTTTAATGCGTGTTTTGTGGCATCTCATTGTGATTTGAATTTGCATTTTCCTGATGGCCAGCGATTTTGGCACAGTTTCATCTACTGGTCATTTGTATATCTTCCTTTTTTAAAG